CGAATTCCGAGTAAGGAATTTTGAATTCTCGGTAATTTTATATCACTAACGACACATCTTTAAATCATTAGTAAATTTGCATTTAACAATTCTTAGTATGAAATAATTGTCTAATATTGAAAGTTATTCCTTTGTGAATTTTGAATGTATAAATTTTTCTCCGAATAACATTGTGATGCTGTAATTTATATAATTTGCATGTCTCAAGGCGTAATATGGTCGGAACTGTACCTATCTACTTATCTTCGAACAACTTAATTTACCCATATTAGCAAATAAATGATTTGATTTGATAAAAATTAACTAATGATTAAAAAATCGGCCCCTTACCTCGAATTCAGTAATATTTTTTATTCTAAGGATGGAATTATTGATTTGTTTATGTAAATAGTTCATACTTTTTTATTATCTAATCTATGAAACAAAAAACCACCACCTTATCACATGGGACTCGTAACATAAATAGTGAAAAATGAGTGTTACATTGTATAGTGGCATTATGCGTCGAAATGTGCACCTCTGCCTATCCCTTCGGGGGTAAAAAGGCGTGATGTTATGTTATGCTGAAACACAAAAATGTCTATCTCGTACGTCACAACACTGAAATAATCCTTCGTCTCTAGCTCTTTCTCTTATTCAGCCTCATTTTTGAAAACCAAAAAAATGTTAGCATAGTATTCAACTGAAATATTGTTAATTCTAATCTTCAGTGTGTATCACAAAAACGTTTATCTAAAAGATTAATCATGGCGGCTGAAATTTAGGCAGCCATTTGTCATATCCGGGAGTATTGTAACTTTTTATAGCGCATGGAAATATAATCATTAAGAGATATTGTTATGATGATAATTTCATTTTCAACTGCCTCATCTAATGGTTGTAACATTGTGACTGCTGAGTATACAGTCTCGAGTTTTAGGTTCAGTAAAGTACTTTTGTTCTAAAGTACTCAGTGGTGGGATGCTGTAAAAAACCTAACCGGCCTGACAGTTCCACAAGCCATATCGACCGCAGTGGACATGGGCGTTTGGAGAAGGGTTGTGCATCAAGTGATGCGTGCACCAGACTAGACACGACTTTCAGTAATGAAGAGAAGGAATAGGAAGAAGAAGAAAGTACTTTTAGATTTTAAAACCCTCAAATATACCACGGAGCTTTTTTATAATTGGGTTCTTACAAAATTTTACGTCCATCATCGTCATCATCCGAAAGATATATACACTGTTGTAGGTGTCGTGGTGGCTCAGAGGTTGAAGACTCCTGCTTCTCATGCACGAGGGTGCAGGTTCGAAACCTACCAACGGCAAGTACCAATGTGACTTTTTCCAAGTTATATGTACTTTCTAAGATTATTTAGACAACACTGACCAACGGTGAAGGAAAACATCGTGAGGAAACCTGGACTTATAATTTCTAATTACAAGTTTGAAGTCGCCAACCCGCATTGAGCAAGCGTGGTGATTAATGCCCTAAGCTTCTCCGTGTGAGTACAGGCTTTGCTCAGCAGTGGGCATCTATAAACTGTTGCTGATGATGATGTTAGACAAAAGTAAACTTTGTAAAGGACGATTTTATATTACAAGAAAATGATTAAAAACTAAGTCATACAATTCTCATAACTAAATCATGAACAAAACTACTTTGTTCCAAGATTTCAAATGAAAGCAACCGGCAAGTCCAAAGTTCAATTCAACGGGGAGTCAATTTTCGAATTCAAGTTTAGTCCAATGAGAATTCAATGTATGATTTTGTACCAACTAACTTGTATCAAAAATATTAACATTAACTTTGGATTTGTAGTACCAATCGTTCAATTCGAGTTTGATTCCCGATTTAGACAACATACATAATAATATGTATATGACATTACAGGCTAGTGTTTTATTTTGTACAACTTAACAGGCAATTGTTTTGTTTTCTATATTAGGAAACGTTACCTCATACTAAGATTTTTTCCTGTGTCGTGTGTACGTTTACAAACATACAAGTTCACATACATGACACCTAGACCTTTAACATCAATATGTGACTCACAAAAAGATTTGTTCCGTGCGAGAATCGAACCCACGACACGTTGCGCGGCAGCCAGTTGCCCAGTCACCGCATCAACCGTGCAGTGTGCAGTCACTTGTAAAAAATGGATGCTATTTTCCAAATTGTCGCTACTTACCCCCTTAGGGAATAAATAGCGTGACATTCTTATGTAAAGGGTTCACGTACTGGATACCACTTCTTGATTTTTCTATACTGATTGCTAGATTTTTGTTTCCAATTTCTTATACATTTTTATATACCAAACAGTTATACTTAACCCACTTTTTTATATAAATAACCATTACAGAATCTACCCACAATATACTCCTAACATATCTCAGCCCATTCCTATATGTATCCCAAAAACTTATGACGGCATTACCCTCGTTCCGCGACACATGACCAATATGACAATATGACAATATGACCATAACCGATGTCCTTACTTGCGAACTTTTTTGTCCATCGATATGATATTCCTTATGCTTAAAATAAGAACGTTCAAGAAACGGCAGACATAATGTCACTTAAAAATGATTGACGCACCAAAATGCCAGTGGGTTATTTATGTGTGCGTGTGTAATAATGTTACCAGACATGATAAAATGACTGTTGTCCTTCGTGTCAATGTGTGTGTATGTTCTGCGTGTAAGTATATAGTAGCCAGGTGCCACAGTCGTTGTTTCAAGACTGTGTACGCCTTATCAACGACTTTTAATTAAAATACCTAATAATTAGTGGTTATTAATCTCATAGATCGAATGGTCTAACGGTCTAAAATGCAACTATGTAGAAAAACTCCCGGTTCGGAATTTTGAGTTGGTCGAAGGTCAGTTTTGAAATTCTGTCTATTTTCAGATTTGGTTACGAGGTAAATATGTAAGCCATAGCTCCAAAGGAGGAGATCTTCTAAAATATAGTATTTGATTTAGAATGTCTGTCTAGCATGGAGTGTTAATACTACATGGGACTCACAACCTAACCGGTAAAAAGTGGCCGCTCCCGAAAAACGCCGACAGGTGATCGTCAAAAACAAGTTTTATTTTTATAATAATAAGGAATTAAATGTTTCTTCAATTACTCAAGGCTGATGTTGCATGAATAATAATATGAAAACAAAAGTGATTAAAATTGTAAAAACCTATTTTTTTTTGTCAGCGTTTCGGGAGCTATCCGTTAACACTCTGTATAGGTATGTATGTATATGCTTGATGTTACGTTATGTATCTACCTTATCATCTAATCAATAAGATAATTTCAAACATTAACTATATCTTTATATTATTATATATAATTGTGCTGTACGTGTGTATGTCATTAAACTCCTCCTAAACGGCTTGATCGATTTAAATGAATTTTTCTGTACGCGTTTGGGTGGCGCCCTGGATAGTTTAGATTCACAAATGAGCCCGGCAGATGCTGCAGTCAGTATCTTTTTTTTAAGGGGGGAAAATCATCGAATGACTGCTCCCGCCTGGGTGAGGCGGGAGGGAGTGTCAGACTCTTACTGACTAAAAACCACCCCGTTCCTTCTCCTGCACGTCGAGTCGGAGCCCCGGTTACCCGTTAGGTTTAAATTATATTATATTATATTGAATGAATTTTTGTTTATACATTCAAGTGTATATGCAGGTCAACGGTTCTGTCGGGTCCGCTAGTTATTATACAATAACTAATTCTTTTCAATATAAATTGCATTTTGCTATCAAGCCATTTTCGTACTTACCAGATCAAGATAAAGTTCACCTGTCATGGCGTTGATCCATCGTTGCTACGTGGAATCGTGTAGCGAAACATATTTTAGACTAGACATTTATTTTAGTCAAGTTAACTCAAACTGCATCGCTAATGTAAGATATGTTTTAATAGATATATGCAACTGCCTTGTTCAGCGGGTGGTCACGTATTTTTCATGACAGTGGTTTCAAATTCGATCCCCGGTCAAACAAAGCATTTATAAAAGCTTAATTGAACCATAATTTACTTAGCAAAAAGTGGTTGTTACTATGTGTATCTCATTGGTTTTCTCTCTCTTCGGAAAACCACAAACGTATTATTATGTAAAATTGTTACACAAGAAATCAAATGAGATGCCCCTTAATAGTGTAGATGACTGTTTCTTATTTTAATGTCCGTCTGATAGATTATTTAAAAACATTAGACAAATATTTTTTATTTTCTTACGGAAACGAATAGTTTTGAAGATATATTGAATTGCAATGACTTTTGAGTACGATTTATACTCTAAAATGCCTCCCACTCCTAAACTTTGATTTGTTTTATCAAAGCATTGTTTTTTAGGCGACAAAATAAAAATTGCATGTCTAATATTTTTTCATTACCTAAATTACGGACTAATTACATTTTTATATTTCATACACTGTCATCGTCCCTATTGTGTTTACTAGTACTCAAACAACAAGACTATCATAGAAATATGCTTTTTAAAGGCTTTTTAATCTCAAAACTATTTACACGTAAAACGAAAAAAGTAAAAGCAATAAAAAACCTCGTTATCAGTGAATGAAAATATTAAAAACAAAATAAAATTTCATCCACACTTTTGTCAACGAACTCGGCAAGATGAGTACATTTTTCATTTTTATTTTGAAATGTATCGCCACGTTCGTATTTCCTATGGGAATAAACACAAATACCTAATCAAGCGGGAAAAGCTTGACAGTTGTATCCGCTGACCACTTTCAAATTCAACCAAGAGATGGCGCTAGCAGTAAGATCAAATTACCAAAACTCTTTACCAACAAAATCGTTTGATTTACGTAGCTTTAGAATGGATTCGCTAATCCACATCGTTCACGGGCTATTTTATGCGGAGGAGGTTAAAAAATGAATTATTATTGAAAGAAAATCGCCTTTCACTCCCCGAGAGATCGGGTAGACGACGCTAGCGCCAATTCGCGATTCCGCCGCAGTCTCAGCCCGCCCGCCCTGCCGACGCACGCCGCCCGCCCAAAGCGCGCCCAAAAAAACCGAACATCGATTTTTATAGTGCTTGTGTTGTGTGTGTGAGTGTCAGTGTGTGTGTAAAAAATATTGGATGACAATCATGTAAGTCAAAGTGTTATTTATATTATTTTATCATATTTTTTTCTAGATTTTTCCGTCGCACCGGTTTTTTAATCACATTTTTTAAACGTCAATTGAAATTAATTTAAAAAGTGATGTTATTCATTAAACATGAACTGAAAATAATTTTAAAAGCGGAATAAAACTATTAAAACGATATAAATCGGTGTCAATTTATGTTGACATAATAAAATGTAGTTCAAATATTCGAATAAAATCGCCGTGTTCGAATTACGTCAAATAAAAACGAATGATTGTACAAGTGTAATCGATTTAAATGAGGAAAGTTACGAAATATAATTCTACCGATATAATCGAGTGCGAAAACAATCACCTAGGTATGTGACTCGTTTCGCGAAATTGACGATCGTTGTAACTTTTAATCGGCTGTTTCTCGCGATTTTATTACGTATAATCAGGCGGTATTCCGTATAATTGAACGGAGTTTAACTATCCTTACGTCTGTTAAGTAAACGTTTAACAATTTATATAATTATTTAAATATCGAACTTATTATAAATTCATAATTATAAAATTGTAATAGTTTCTATAAGATATATTATTATTTTGTCATACATTTATTCAAATAATTTAATTTTAAATTAAAATTCGCTATGCACTTATAAGTGGTGGATTGGATAAAATTAATGTTATGCTATTCAATAATATTAATGCATTCGAGTTATTTTGGCTTTGCAATTAATTTTATGTTATTCAACGTATGAATATTTAAGTATGACACGAGTACTTATGTCATACTAGTAATGTGTAATATTTAATTAAAGTACCTACGTCATGGTTGAGTTCTGATGTTGAACATTTAAGTTTTGAATAGTTCAACGGTTAGGTATGACTCAACTATTCGATAATTATATTTTGTTCACTATTATTTACATTATAATTTTCGATTTAAGTATTTTCAATAAATAGCAATAATTCGAATAGAAGTTTAAGACGCCCGCTTCTCATGTATGAGGGTGCGGGTTCGAAACCTATCAACTGGCTACCAATGTGACTTTTTCGGAGTTATATGTACTTTCTAAGATTACTCAGACACCACTGACAAACGGTGAAGGAAAACATCGTGAGGAAACCTGGGCTTATAATTTCTAATTATAAGTTTGTAATCGCCAACCCGCATTGAGCAAGCGTGGTGATTAAACTTATATAGGCTGCGGCATTTATAGGCTGTTGATGATGAAGAATTTGAGGAATAGGTAGCGATCAATGCAATATTTTCTTTATATCGCAATTCAAATTAAGGTTGTTTGCATTATGAAAAAATGATTTTTGATTAGTTTCATTTTGTTGTATAACATAATATTAAATATAGACACACGAATTATTTTAATCGCTTTAGTTAACTAACACATTTAGTTTGTGTTCTAGTTTCATCGTCTTAAAAACTCAGACTCGTATCTCTTAAACTCATAATATGTTTCTAAATTCTATTGATACCAGAAAGGGCTTAAAAGAAATGATCTTAATACAATATTTATTAGGTTTGAGCCACTCTGATAAGTAAGATGTGTAATATAAATATTTAACATCGAATTTGATATCAAATATCGGCATTATCTCATTGATCTTAAGGATTTACGGTAACTGCTTTGAGCGGACTTTCATCGGAAAGAATTTCCAGAACATTCGAATGCTTTGATTCGATGTTGCGTGAAGTGTTTGTGATGGAGGATGTTACTTTTTTAGGAATAGGAGCGATGTGAATATTGTTTGTTAGTGTATTCGTTTGATTTCCACATGAAATAATAACTTTACTTATCTCTTAGTTGTCTACAACTATCCTAGTGCTGAATGAAATATTGGTAAATTGGAATAATACATTATAAGTCTACGTTTCACTACCATGCTTTACCATATGTCAGTAATACTATTATTGCATAAGATATTTTATTTTCTAATAAAAGTACCTACTCGATCAGAAAGTCGCAAAACAAGAATGATTACAGATTCATGAAAAACTTTAATATCATTTTTCTGGTATTACATTTAGTATCCAGTACCTAGTCAATGTCTTCTTTAGTAAACTACACAAAGGGGGTAGGCAGGAAGTGTTATATAGTGCACTTAGTTTTTGTAGAACCAATAGACTAACTCCAGAGCCATGCAGTCACTTTAGGCTAGAATACATGTCATTAACCCTTCTGTATCTTCTAGTTCCTGCGTGTATCCTAACTTACTAATAGACCATACGTTGATAGGGGCACTACTTTCTAATAAACATGAACTTTTTAAACTAGGATTTCCGAATTTGATTACCAAATATCCTACCTTTTATGGTAGTTCGCAAGTTCTGTAATTCTACAATGGACTGTCATTATCGATGTTGAATCGACCTACGAACAAGTTTAGTTATATCACTACATAGTATAAAACAAAGTCGCTATCTGCCGTCTGCCTGTCCCTATGTATGCTTAGATCTTTTAAACTACGCAACGGATTTTGATGCGGTTTTTTCATAGATAGAGTAATACTTTAGGAAGGTTTATATGTATAATGCATGTATATTGCACCCGTGCGAAGCCGGGTCGGGTCGCTAGTTAATATTAAAGTTTAATGAGACTTAGTAAATTAATTATTTGTTTTAGGATTACTCTCGTTACTGATTGACGAGGAACTCGATCAGTTTTAGGCCAAACCAATTCATGGGCAGTATTCCGCGACGTGTGAGGCGGCAACTATCGCGCTTCTACTGATGATATCAGCCTCTAGCATGGCTTGAAACTAGTCAAGTTCCTCGTCAAATAGTTATTAAACAACATAATAATCGAGTTTAGTTCTTGTGTACTCTTTTCAATTTTTCTACTACATTTCTCATCCCTTACACTCTAAAAGATACCATGAAAGATATGACTGCCTCATTGTCCGAGTGGTCGCAAGTGCGACTGCCGGGCAAGGGGTCTCGGGTTCGATTCCCGGGTCGGGCAAAGTATTACTGGGTTTTTCAAAAAATTCCCAGTAGTAGCACGGAGTCTGGAATTGTGCCCGGTATATGGCAAAAGGCTCACCCCCTATTACATGGGACTCATAACATAAATAGTGAAAAGTGGGTGTTACATTGTACAGTGGCATAATTTACACCTCTGCCTACCCCTTCGGGGATAAAAGGCGTGATGTTATGTTATGTTATGAAAGATATGAAGTGTGTAAGTAAACATATGCATTTCTCTGACGCCCGTGGGGACGGGAACCCGACACCACCGCGCACCGAACGGCTTTACGTGCCTTCCCGGACCTACGTATGACACTACTATTTTCCTAATTGAAAATTTCGCGTCAGCAAACCGTAGAGGTAGATAAACAAGATTATGTTGCGAATTAATGGTTGTATTTTCAATGGGGAGAGAAGATTCAACTTAGAGTTGGAAGTGATTTTTATGGTTTCTGAATTAAAGATGATAGCTTAGTGTTCCGATAACGTTGTGTTTTTTTAAGCATTTATTTATTAATAAAACCTTACCTAAATTATTATACACGTGTCTTCATGGCGATAGTTAGACCTTATTGTTCTTTTGTATTACTCACAAAACAGTGACAACGGAATTGTCGATGCCAGTAAAGTATTATTGAATTTTTCAACAGTTGCAAGATTTATACATGACTGTGCCTTTGATTGACTTAATTAAATAATAATCACAATAAAGTGGGCGTTACGTTATATTCAATTGCAGTAGAGGTGCACATTACGGCATTTAACGCCTAACTTATGTTAGGAGTCCCATGTAATAGGAGGTGAGCCTATTGTAATATACCGAGCTCAATGTAGTTACTTTCTGTTTCTCTAAATCTCCAACTGACACGTGTATCGCATGAATAACACAGAACAATGTTTATCAATTCATAGTTTCTCTAATGAAGCTATCGCGCGTCGTCTGACGAACAATTAACTTGGATTAGCCGCGTCGTCTAATGTCTTATTACTTTACACAGATACTGCCGTATTCACTATTAGAGGTATAACATGGAATTGAGAAGGAATCGTGTTAGTATTATTTTGTGTACCTATACAATGTTAATTGTTGGACTTATCCTTGAATTATAAGGAAACTAAGTAAGAAAGAAAAATATAGACTTTGGCCTAGGGGTCGCAAATGTGACTGCCGGGCCAGGGGTCTCGGGTTCAATCCCAGGGTCGGGTGAAGTATTTATCGGTTTTTTAAAATAAAATTCTCAGTAGTAGCACGGAATCTGGTATTGTGCCCGGTATATGGCAATAGGCTCACCCCCTATTACATGGGACTCATAATATAAATAGTGAAAAGTGGGTGTTACTTTGTATATTGGAATTAGGTGCCGAAATGTGCAACTCTGCCAACCCCTTCCGGGATAAAAGGCGTGATATTATGTAATATTATTATTTTTTGTGAGAAAGAAGTTAAAGTTTTTTCTTGTTAGCTACTGCTCAACTATTTAGGTATACATTGGTTTGAGAAAGAGAGACAAAAAGTCTAGTTCATTATGAGTTAGGTACATAATATTAAGTTAAATTAAAAATTTGCATCAAAACATAGAGTATAAAGATTTTTTTCTGTGTTTGGTCTTTCAGAATAAAAATAGTTATAGTATTTGACTTGACGAGACCCCTCGTTTGCGTGGCAGTCGTTATTGCTGCAATGATTTCTACATGTTGCATATAGGCATTGGTAATTTGACAAACTAGAGGTTTTTTTTATTGCATAAGCCGGTAAACGAACAGACGCATCACCTGATGGTAAGCAATCGGCGTCGTCCATGGACACCTGGAACACCAGAGGCGTTACAAGTGCATTACCGGCCTTTTGGGGATTAGGAGTTTGAGGATCGTTGGGGATTCAGGGATTGGGGAGATTGGGGAAGGGGTGGGTAATTGGGCCTCCGTTAATCTCACTCACACGACGAAACACAACGCAAGCGTTGCTTCACGTCAGTTTTCTGTGAGGCCGTGGTATCACTCTGGTGTGGTCTAGATTCAACTATATTTCACA